TTTTTTCGATTTTGCACTTTTGATTGATCCCTTTCAGCAGCGTCATCCGTTGTCAGCATTTTTTCTTGTCTTCCTATTAACAGCTGTACTTCTGAAAAGAATGTACTTCTAACTTGGCAGCATCCCGCTTCGCACAAAATCACATCACCTATCATCTGTGGACTTATCCTTTCTTTTCCTGCGTGGCTAAGTCGATCAGAATCAAATCTGAAAAAAGTATTCCGTTGCATTTCAAAAAATGATACTGCTGTTTCCTTTCTTTCCACCAAGCTCGTCGACCCTGTGGGCCAATAGATTCAGCTGCTTCGGAGCCTTTTTTTGTGGTTTCTTTTCTCTTTCACTTGTAATTTTAACGCCATTCCACACCAAATGGAATTTATTTGTTCACAGTACTGCTCTCATTACCATTAGAGAATCCTTTACATTTCAAAATTTGATCATTTCAAAATTCAATATTTTGACCAAAAAAGAGGACAAAATACGGGCGTTTTTCGAAAAAATTAAATTGAAAGCGCAGGGTTTCTTCCTGCGAATCAGTGCACCTCATATGAACGGAATTCGTTCCATTATGGAAGTGGAATTTGAGGATCACCGATGCATTGGCAGATTTAGCTCGGTGGAATCACTAGTGGGATTTGCAATGGCTTTATTTCAGATTTTCGAGAAAAAAAAACAATTTTTTTGCAAAAATTAGACTGTTTTCGCATGGAGCTGTCAGCACCACAATTTGCATAAGAGTTTATAGGGATCCTTTTTTGCAAATATATAATCTTACTGATAATCTCGATCGGTCCTCATTCCATCCGACACACAGCTTCACCGTGTTGCAGCTAGCTATCTTCCATTCGGAAAAACTGGTTGCTTATGGTTTTGACTGAAATTATGGCAAGGCGGAATGATCTGTGACGCATCTAGCCCCTTCATCCCTCATATACGTGGTTCCACGCATTTCACATAGGTACAAAGATACAGAAAACAGTACAATGACAGCAAGCATCATCGTCGAGCTGCCTAACTTGTGGCGCGGAACACTTAAAAATTTGTGGTGCGCTTAGCACGTAAACAATGCACAGTTACGGAATTTACGCCTGAAAGCGCTTCTTAAAAAAAAGAAGGATAAGTCCGTAGGTGATTCTTGAAAGCCCCTTATATTTATTACGATTACGATCCTAGCATCCTGCCAGTTTGGGCACAAATATGTTTGTTTCAGGAAGCATGCCAGTGTTTCACGGATTCACCGTCTTCCAAAGATCCGAAAGTGCGCTCGCCCTCGTTATCGGGCCGCGAATTTCTCTGGATTGGATGTACAAGGCAGAAAATGCCTCAGGTATTCAGTGCCTTGAATGCAGTCAACGAAACAATGGTCTCAAAGCTCTGGATTTGGGATTCGTTGATCAATATCATACCAGCCGACATGTTTGCGCAGGTACCAGTTTCTTCTCAAAAATCAACTTTGTCTTGAAAATTTTACGTATCAATCAACGTCCGTAGGTGCCATTTTCGGATATGTATGATATATATCTTTATTTATCCCTGAATTTCTCGTCTCTTTCACAGAGCACAAGTTTCATTCGGATGCCCACGGGGGATTTTTGTTTTTTGACTTGCATGAAAATGTGGTGTATTTTCCTTTTATGAAGTTGGTGTATAGCGTCAGAGAGCTTGGAAAATTAGAAATTTGTCTCATATTTGGGGACATCCTTTCACAGCATCGTTCTTCCAATCTATTTGGTGCCCTCATTGGTGCTTCTACGTTCGGTTTTTTTGCTTTTAGGACAAATTGGCACTTCGCGCATTCCCAAGCTGAATTTCGCATTTCATAAAGTTGAGTCGAACTTCCCACTGGGGAAAGAAAGAAGCATTCCCACTCCATATAAACAAGATTACGCGCAACAAGAATCGGGTTTTTACCATGAAATACGCTAAATTTCTTGAAAATATGAATGTCTGAGGCTAAATTTCTTGAAAATGTGAAATATACTAGTTCTCAGCCATTGAGAGGGTTAATGGAGTAGATGCCCAGCAGAACGTGTTTAACGTTTGTTTGGGTTATCAGACATGCTGGTTTGTAGAAGAAGCTGGACAACGCTCTAAGTAGAAGGGTCTGAGATAGTGATAGCACACTAGTCATACTTCATTTAGGATCAGCGAGTTAGATTAATTCAAAAGAACCGAAGTATAGTTAACTTTTTACTTCTCATAATTTCGATAAGAATTTTATTTGTTGCATGAAAAAATTTGCCTTTCTCGAAATTCGCCTCAAACATTTCGCCGAAGTATGGAAGTCCTTAAGTAACTTCATGGTTGCCGTAGTGCCACGGAACTACGGTGCTGCACGGTTTTTTCAAACTTCCAGGTGCACCCACGAATCCTCTCAATCGAAAAATCCGGTTTGAGCTTATTTCGGCCGGGCGCCTTCAGTAACATAGGACAGAGGCTACGAGTGCTGCAGCTGAGGAACAACATTATCAAGCGGATTGAGCCAGTGATGTTCAAGGACCTCGATCGGCTTGAGGTACTCGATTTGGGAGGCAACAAAATCAGCTCCATCATTTCAGGTCAGTTTTGAGTTCTCCACATGCATTTTTGTGTTGTGTTTTCAAACTGAAGTTTTTTTGATCCAGCAACTGTAAAATTACTTGATCTTCATTGCATCTTTCAAGAAGTCCAATTAGCCATGTCATTTCGTTCTCTTGCCCGCGACACGGAATTAATCATTAATCTTTTTTACTCTCATTATTATTAATCAATTTCACTATCTCCGGTTAGTTCGCTTTGTCATAGAGAAGTTTATTTTCTTTGTTCATAATGGCTCTGAAAGTTCTCTTCTTCCTTTACTGCGGTTATTTTTATGCGTTTTTTGCAGCTATGCAATGCAGAAAACGCATATTGACGAGGGGATGTCTGTGTGTATGTCTGTGTGTCCGTGTGTGCGTCTGTCACGGTCTTTTATCTCAAGACCTATAAAAGCTACAGGGCTGAAACTTTGGGAACTTAATCTACATGCATGTACGAGCCTCAATCCCCAAAATTGGCGCCATTATCCGCGTATGGGCTCCAAAGTTTTTCGGGTAAGTTCATAACTCTCGATCTGAGAAGTTAAAAAGCTGAAATCTTAGGGTGATGTTCCCCGTCCAAGTGGGTATTAGTGGGCTCAAACCTTGCCCCCGGGTAAGCGTGGTATCCACGTACGAGCTCGCCAAAACTTTTTTCGGGTAAGTTGATAACTCGAGTACGTGAGAAGCTAAAGGACTGTAATTTTAAGAGTATATACCCCATCCACCTAAGTTTCATTCAGCTTGAACCCAACTTTCGGGTATGCTTGGTAAACGGGCCCGTGAAAATTTTTTTCCAGTAAGTTGCTAACTCAGGTGCTAGGGAGCTAGAAAGCTGAAATTTTAAGGGGGTGTTGCCTGACAGTTCTGACGGCCAGTCTGAATTTGTTTAGCTAGAAGCATTCGCCGAAAAAGCCGGTGCCGGTAGCAGCAAAAACTGCGGGGAACAATGCAAAAAACGCATCTTCGCACGGGCAGCCCTTGCGTTTGCCAGCTATTTATTATAGTTATTCCACATTCTTATTTTTTTTATTACCGTTATATTTGCTCTATAAAAAAAGTCAAAACTTTTTCGATTCGCTCTTCTTCAGAGACAAAGACATTGGGAAGTATTCCAGAGTAGCACGGCAAGCACTCACTAGCAAATTTGTCGATGCTGTCTGTTATCATTTTGTTTTATTTCGTATTTTTGGTATTTGGTTTTCTACATGCTGCTGGGTATCTTTAATTATAGCTCATCGTCTTTAGTTCGCTGTAATTGATCAGCTGTGCAGCTTCCGCCCATTTCTTAATTCAGCTCTATTTTTTGATGGAAGGGGAATGGCATGATCTGGAAGCTGTCGTATTTAGCTTTGGTCGAAAGTAAACGCACGCCATATTTGACACTTTCTGGCATAATCAGCACAAAATCGTTGTGTTTTCCTGAAAACACATTTCTCATTCTCAGCTCCAACATTGAGATGCAGTATTTCTCAGCTGGTGTGTGGGGGGTTTTTTGACGTCGGTGGGCTGAATTGGGAGGTTTTTTGACGTCGGTGGGCTGAATTGGGAGGTTTTTTGACGTCGGTGGGCTGAACCTGTGGATTCGTCTCATCCCCATCTTCCTGTACATCCCTTTCTTTTCCTAGGCAATTTCATTTCTCTTCCTGTACCTGCTTTGCTTCTGAATTCTTGTGATAACTACGATTGTGCTCATAAAATTGCAGATTTAGATCTCCTCTTCGTTTTTATTAAACTCACTGCTTTATGGTCTAAACTAACGATAAAGTAAATGCGTAACTCACAAGCAATTATAGGCGAATTGGATCGTCTGAAAGATTTGGACACTTTGATATTAAGTGACAACCAAATATCGAGCATCGAGGATGACGCCTTTGCATCGCTAAGTAACCTGAAAACATTGAATTTGGCCAACAACAAATTGACAAACATTACTGTGTAAGTTATCACCTCACTCATGTCTGGAAGTACGTATTTTCCTACCATCTTACCTTAATTCTCGCTGGTGCGACTTCTCGAAGAGGTGGTGTATTTATGTTTGTATAATTGTGTGTGTGTGTGTGTGTGTGTGTGTGCGTTTGTACGTGTGTGCGCGTGTATATAGCAGAGACATGCGCGAGAATGAAGAGCTAATTTGTATGCAAAGTATGAAATGAGGTCAAAAACGCAGATTTAAAAAAAAATCAAAAGCGTAAGCACTAGACTTGTCGGTGCGATCATGCGTTTTTGCACCGGACTTAAAGTACTCAGGTTATTAACTGCATAAATGTTTTTTGCTTTACAACTACCTTTTACGCTCACTAGCGTAAGTCACCATAAACTTAGCATAAAGTCAATTTCCATCGTCCTTTGGAAGTAGCCTAGCTGCTCAGTGAGCAGTACCCGCCAGAATTTTTAAGTGCTTATACGTGGGAACCACGCATACCTGAAGGCTGAATTTGGGGTATTTAAGTTGTGCTTGGGTAAGGAGCACTCCTCTAAAATTTCAGCTTCCCAGCTTTTCTGGTGTCCGAGTTAGTAATTTTCCCGCCAAAACTTTCACATGCCTATGCGGGTACCATGCACCTGGGGAGCTGAATTTGAAATCTTTAAATTGTACGTTGACAGGAAACATCCCACTGAAATTTCAGCCTTCCAGCTTTTCTGGTTACCGAGTTAGCAATTTTCCGATCAAATCTTTCACATGCATGTACATGAGAACTACGCATGTCTGAAGGCTGAATTTGAAATATTTGAATTGTACTTGGACAGGGAATATTGCCTCGAAATTTCAGCTTTCTAGCTTTTCTGGTTCCGGAGTTAGTGGTTCTCCCGCCAAAACTTTCATGCGCCTTACGTGAGTACTACGCACACTTGGAGACTGAATTTGAAATCTTTAGCCAGCACTACACACGGGATATCCCTGCAAAGTTTCAGCCCCTTACCTAGTCTGGTTCCCGAGATCGCTTTCCCATCAAAAAATTTGCATATTTCTTTATGACGTCCGTAAGCAGCATAGGCAGGCGATGATATTAAAAGGGGAGGGTCACGAATGGTGTGAGCACATACTCCCAGGTTTCAGCTTTCTAGCTTTTCTGGTTCTTGAGTTGAAAATGGGGGATAAAAAGTGCGAACACACATACACACACGCACGCACACACACACACACACACACACACACACACACACACACACACACACGCA